TTGGCAAGTATACCGAATTAAGTAAGGAAAAGAAAAAGTTATGATTAGATTTTAATTGAACTCTCCAAGACTGTCAAGCAGCGATTAAAGAGGGATTAGGTGATATAGTAGCAATTATGAAATTAGCCCAAGTAGCCGACAATCTTATAAGAGATTTTTGAGAGACTGCCAAGTCTGAGGAAAGGAAAAAGAGTAAAAGTTGAAATCTTTTGGATTATGACGAACAACAGCGATTAATAAGATATTGAGGTTATGAAAAAGCCAGAATAGAAAATAATTTCCTTACTACCTCCGAACAATTGGAAAGACAAAGCCAAGAATACTTAAAAGATATAGAAAGAGCAAAATATCACGAGGAACGAGGGAAAATAAATTGTGAATGTGGTTGGTGCGAGCAGCAAAAATAATCAAAAAGGAGGTAGAAACCGAAAGACAGAAAATTATTAGAGAAGCCGAAGCCGAACAAAAGAAAGAAATAGAGGTAGAGTGGGTAAAGGGTGAATGTAATAATTGTAGCGAATATAAAAAAGTGGATAGTGAGAATGGATTATGTAAAAAATGCCTTGCTGGTAATTATTAGCAAGCAGAAGTGGTTAAAAAGAATTTACGGGGGAAATTTATCCGATGATTAATGTCGACTATTTTTATTGAACTAACCCAAGCGGAAGAATTATTCATTTAGACTAAAATTTTTTAATAATGTCTTTGCCACCCTTAATCACTACTACTCCCGAAGGTCGCCGAGTTTACCCTTGTGATTTAGTTAGTAATTAATAAGCAAAGGTTATTCCGCTTAATCATTGACCCTCACTATGAGAAAGGTCATGGCAGTTATGTTAATGACGAATTAATTTGAGAATTGGTTCAGCAACTAAATAACCGAACCTTTTTTCCTGACCCACCCAAAAGAGAAAGTGCTTTCCAGTATTTCACCATTGAGGATATTCAATATGATGATGAAAATTATTGTTTAATCTGATGTTGGAAAAAAGCCAGCAAAAATTATATTGGGATAGTTAATTGTTATTAAAAACAGATATATACTTATTATGGAAAAAAAAGCAAATTATTCCTTCCCTAGTGAAAGAGAATTAAAAGAAATCAGGGAAAAAACTAGTAGTCCAAATTATCCTTATAAAAATAAGATTTTATCTCCACATGCTTCGGGAGAGGAGAAATTTAAATATCAGATTTGCCAGGCTATTTTAGTTTATCAGCAAGAAAATAATTTGCCGGTGGAGGAAGTGGCCGAAAAAATAGAAATTCCTCTAAACAAAACTTATGACATTTTATTAGGCAAAATAAAAGGCTTTCGCCTAAAAGAGTTAGCAAATTATTTAGAGAAATTACAGGTTCCTTTTGAAATAATGGTTAAAAATGACCGGACAAGAGAAGTTAAAGAAGTAAGGGGATAAACTCCTTTTTAATTATTTTTGGGAGGAATTTCGATTTGAGAAGTTGTTTCTTCAGTTTCTTCGGCAAGATTTAGTTCAGCAAGTCCAAAATCATCTTCCAAAGAATAACTAGTTTCTGGTAATTCAAATTCTAGGATTGCTTCTAAATTGGAAGTTGGTTTAATTTTTTGTAATAATTGGGTGATTTGTTGAGTATTAATGGATTTACTATGGGTAATAGCAGTAGGATGGGTTTGATAAGGGGTGTTTTGGGAGAATTGGTTGTATTCTTGTTCTAGGAGTTGGTATTGGTGGTAGAAAGGAGTGTTTTCTTTATCTCTAATTTCACTTCTCCAACCCTTAATAATTCCATTCAACTCCCAAGCACTAGGTCTCTTTTGTGGATCAGCCTCTCAACATCTTTTAATTAAATCTTTTAATAATTGAGGGATGGGAACTTTATCTATGTCAGGTCGTAAACCATTACATATTTCCAAGGCTAAACTAGTATCAGCCAAGTTGTTATCCGCATAAGGATAAGCCTGAGCCAAGTATTCATAAGCCACTATTCCAAAAGAATAAATATCTGAGGCTTTCGTGTAAGATTTTCCTTGTAAAACTTCGGGGGCTACATAAGGAAGAACCCCATAAACATTGCCATCACCTTTTTCACTAGCAGGGCGACATAACCCTAAATCAGTGATATGACATGGTAAATCAGTAAAAAAAGTTTCTGAACCACCACTTAAAATATTCCCCGAATGGAAGTCTTTGTGAACTAATCCTTTTTCGTGAATATTTTTTAGTCCCTCTGCAATGGAATGTAATTGAATGATTTTTTTCTTGAAATTTAATTTAGAGTTATTTCTCTTTAAATATTCTCGTAGATTACCCCCTCTAACATAATCCATGACCATAATATAATTTCCCTGTGGGTCTTGGGAAATGCCATGACATTTAACAATTTTAGTTTGGTTACCAAATAGTTTATGACTGGCAATTTCTCGCAAGAATTCAGGAGTTATTTTTCGAGAGTTATTTAAGCTTTTAAGAATAATATTTTTATCTTGTCATTCCGCTTGGTAAATTTTACCAAATCCACCTTCAGTAAGATATTCAATATTAGATAATTGTTCGTAAGGTATTTTCTCTACTTGGGCTTCTTGGATAAATTGGTTAATTTCTTTTTCACTTTGCTTAGAAGTAAGGAAATTTTCTAACTCTGCTTTTACTGAGGCTAATTTACAGTTAGGTCTTAGTTCTGTTTTATAATCAAAGTTTTCTAAACTATTGGGTAAATATTCTCAACCACCATCTACGTCAGTATTGGAAATGTTTAATTCCCTTAACTTACTCAAATCCTTTAAAGGTTCTAGAGAGCCAGTGAATTTGTTATTACTTAAATTAAGTTCTTCTAAATTAACTGCCCCAGTTAAAAAAGGTAAATCGCTGGAAAAATTATTATTACTTAATCATAATTCTTTCAAATTAGTAGGATTATTAGGTAAAGTGAGATTGGTTAGTTGATTTTTAAAACATCAAATTTTCTCTAACTGAGAACAACTACTTAAATTGAGGGAGGTTAGTTGATTATTATAACAATTTAATACTTTTAAATTAATAAAATCCGAGAGGTCAAGGGGACCTTCGAGATTTTTATCACTAATATCTAATTTAGTTTCTTTTTCTCTTTCTTCTTTAGTAGGATAATGATAATTAATATCCCTTTGAGCATTTATTAAATTAATTTTATCATCCTTCTTTTCTAATTCTTCTTTCAATAACTCCCGAGCTTTAATTTTTTTTCTAATCTCCTTTTTAATTGAATCGTATATTTTTTTTTCGTTCTTAGAAAAAAATGCTGTTTGTGGGGAATTTTTTAATAAATCAGGGAGTTCACCAAAGCTCAAAGAACCTTTGGCATGAATTACCGAACTAACCCAATTTCCTAATTGCGGGTCAAGTCTCATACTACCAGAGAAAGCAAGTTTTTTAGAATTTTCTGGTAATTTTCCTAGTTCTGCTGGCGGAATATCCTCATCATCAATATCTCTTTCCACATCAGTATTATCATAATTATAAAATTTCAAATTTTCCATGCTCTGCAAAGGCTTTAAAGAGCCGTAGAAACGATTACGAACTCCGCCGGTTTTATTATTATCATTACCTATCAAAAGTAACTCGAGATTGGTCAAATGTCCAAGGAAACTTAAATCTTGTCTAGAAAAATTATTATTCGCAATATCCAATTGGGTTAATTTCGAATTATTTTTGAGATTGAGTTCTCGCAATGAATTGGAACTACAACCAAGAAATCTAAGTTGAGAACAAACCGCAACATTTAGTTTTTCCAGATTATTAATTCAACAAATAAGTAAAATAAGTTGCTTATTTTTAGTGCAATCCAATTTATCTAGTCTATTACTACCACAATTAAGCAACTTCAACTTAGAACACATGCTAACATCTAGTTCATTCAGTTTATTCTCACTACATTCTAATATTTCTAAATTAATAAAATTTTCCAGTTTTAATTTACCTTCTAAATGTTTATTACTAATGTCTAATTCCGTAATGTTTTCTCTTTCCTCCTTGGGATATTTTTCGTCTAAATATTTTTGGGCTTTTACCATAATATAATAAATATTTTAGCAATTTATTAGCAAGGAAGACAAAAAATTCCTTATATATTCCCCACCTAATAGTCCCTTATGACGGGAATAACCTTAAAATTAGGGTAAAAAAAGGGTTATTTTTCCAAAAATGTTGGGAGTAAATGACTAAAATGTTGGGAATAAAATTAAGAAAAGGTAGGGAGTAAATTTTATGTGATATCAAAAATCAACATAGAAAATGAGGTATTTTAAAAGCTTTGATGAAAGTTTTCAAAGTAAGAATTGACTGGAAAATTTTGACCAAAATTCCTTTATATGACAGATATTAATAACACGGCAAAAATTAAAAACAACCGCTTTAAAGATAAAGATGCTTACGCCCTCTGAAAAGGCGAATGAGTATCAAAATACCAAAAAATAAAAAAAGTAGGTTATAAAAAACTTCATTCAGTAATTAACGCTTCTAACCTGAATGACTTATACTTAATTCCTGGTAATCATGCCGAGGAGTTAAAAGGTAAAAAAGGCTATCATAGTATTCGCATTAACGAGCAATATCGTATAGTATTTAAATGAGATAAAAAAGGTGCTAATCAGGCTGAGGAAATTGAAATTAATCCTCACAATAAAAGATACGGCAAGTAAAAATCAAGTAAAATAACATAATAAGAGACATATAACATATTAGTCAATTTATTATTATGGCAAAAGACCTAGATTTAAAACCCATTCATCCAGGAGAAATATTAAAAAGTGAGTTCCTAGAACCTTTGAATATGAAAGAGGAGGAATTAGCCAAAAAAATTCAAGTAAAAAAGTCAGTTATTAGGGATTTAGTGGCGGAAAAAAGGAGTATGACCGTAGATTTAGCCTATCGCCTCTATTTTTATTTTGGCGTGAGTGCGGAATACTGGTTAAATTTCCAAAAAAATTATGACTTGGAGACTTATCAAGAATTAGCGGAGAGGGAAATTAGAAGTAAAATACAGCCAATAGAAAGGAGAGCGGAAATTTAGCGAATTGGAGGATGAAAAGCAAGTTTTAGATAGCAAACTTTTCTTTGAAAATGCCCTAAATGAATTACTTTTATTTTCCTTTAATTTTTAAATTGCTGTAATATTTCTATTGTTTTGATATTTTTATTGTCTTTTATAGGTGTATTTTAGAGATTTACCCTCCCCTATTGTCTAATAAGTATTTTTTAGAAATTTTTTTGGGGAAAATTTTTCTTTGATTTTTCTACCTCTTTATTTATTTCTCTGCTTATACTCTGCCAAAGCCCGTTCTAAAACCTCAATCTGATAACAATTTTCCTCAAAGGCTAATTTTCTTAACTCCTCGGCAAATTCTGGACGGCAAGTAAAAGAAATTCGCCTATTTCTTCCTGTAAAGCGGTTGTCCTTGGGAGCTAACTCCGGGGCTTTTATATTTTCGCTAATTTCCGTAGGGGCTTCCCCTAGTGATTTTAAATCGGTTTTTCTAATTTTATTTCATTTATTCATAACATTTTATTAATACTTCGTATAATAGAATAATCAGAGATTATTTATTATTATATTATAAAATACATAGAAGTTATTTCATATTTAACTTTCATATTCTTTTAATATAACTATATAACAACATAAAAACATATAGTTATATATATTATTTTATAGATAATCCAGCAGACTGCTAACTAACTCTTTCGCTTGCTGGGCTAGTCCTTGATATTTAGTTTGGGTGATGCTTTTTCCTTCATTTTGGACTTGCTTATAACTGGCTTTTTCCATCAGATAAAAAGGAGAGCAAGCATAACCCGTTTTTTTTAAATATTCTTGGATGGCCTTGGCTTCGGCTGGGGTAGATAAGCGAGTAAGCATAAATAATAACTTTTTAGTGGGAATTCCTGCTTTTTTTAAGGCATTAAATTCTTTGACCGCGGGAATTAAGTCGGCACGGCTAGCACCGGTGGGTTGAATTACTAAATCAGCCTTTTTAGCAATTTCCAAAGTTCCTTGGCTAGTTCTAGCGGGTCCATCTATGATTATCAAGTCATATTGTCTAGTTAAAGGTCAAACCTCTTTAACCGAATTAAACACTTGACAAGGAATTTTGCCTTTAATTTTGCTTCATTCATAACTAGTTCCTTGCTGACTATCACAATCAGCCAATAAAACATTTATCTTTTGTTTTTTGGCTTCCACGGCTAACGCTTGGCTTAAAGTTGATTTTCCGACTCCTCCTTTTTGGGAGATAAAAGCGATGATTGTCATAAACTAAAAATATCCCTCTTCCTCCAAGTAATCTCAAACATTAAATAACTCCATGAATTTGGCATAAATTTCTTTCATTTCTTCCTTGGTTAATTTACCCTCATATTTCAGTAAGCGAGATTTGTTAACAGTGCGAATTTGGTCTAGTAGAGCCTTACCAGGAACATTATTAACTAGTGTTAAGACTTCATAATTATAAACTTTCTCTACTTTTTTACTAGTTAAGGGAATAACGACAAATCTTTTTTTTCAATTGTTTAAAAGGTCCGTGCTAAAAACCACCCCTAGGCGGGTTTTCATGAGTTCAGTTCCTTCGGTTTCCCGTCGGCTAACCCGGTATAAATAAACTTCACCCTTTCGGACTACGGAAATTTTTTCTTTAATTATTGTTTGTTGCATCTTCTTCGTCGTCCATTTCCTCCCATAATTTCTTTTCGGCTTCTAGTTCTTTATCCTTCAAAGCTTCCCCATAGTCAGAAAAAATATCAACTTTGGCTGGCCGAATTTTCTTGAACTTCCTAATTGGTTCTTGGTAGATTTCATAATTAATATGTTCTTGTTCCAAAAAGGTTTTTATTCTAGGAATGTTTTCCTTAATTATTATTATTTCTTTCATATATATATTTTATAACTATTTTTATACACATAACAATACAACAACATATAGTTATATGGTAATATTTTATATAACTATTTTTATACACATAACAATACAACAACATATAGTTATATGGTAATATTTTAGGAAAAATCATAAAGAGTAATTTGGTTTAAAAATAATCATATATGCCAACCCTTAGTCTTAAAAATATCACCATTAAAAAACTCCAAGATAAGAACTTTAACAACTATTTTTTGATAGTTAATAATGATAATCAAGATGAAGCCTTTTTTTGTTTTGAATGAACTTTAAAAGATGGCTGGACTGATTTAGTGAATAATTGGGAGAATATTAAAGAAGTAGAGATAGAATTTGAGGAAAGAGAGCATAATTTTAAAACTTATCGCAAAGTAGTTAGTTTATATTCTCCTCAAACCGAGAACATTATTGCTTAAATGAGTTTGTTAATTAGCGGTTTAAAATTACCGCTAAAACTAATAATTTGGTTGGCAGGAGGCAAGAAAAAAAGACCAAAAAAGACAGAATTGGAACAAAAACAGACCAAATATGTTAGGAATTTTGCTCCTACTTATTACAGTTGACAAAAGAGTTTAGGTAAAGATAAGAAGAAACAAAAAAAGAGAAAAATTTTTAAGAAGCAGGTTTAGTAATTGGTAATTCAACTTTTGCCTCTATTTGTTAACTTTCTTTACGCAACTGCTCTGTTTTTTCTTGCGTTTGTCAGATAAAAACTTGTAAACCTTTTTTAATAGTAATTTCGCTGGTATCTCCGCCAGACGAGGCCAACTCTAAATTATTTAATATTTTTGCCAATTCAATTAATTCTTTATTGCTCTCTTTTCAAGCCTCAAGACCGCCATATCTCCTTAATTCTTGCTCGATTTCTTTAACTTTACTGGCTGAATTTGGGTTAGCCAAGCAATAAAAGTATTGAATACCATCGGACAAATACTCTAATCCGTCATTGATGTCGGTGTGTTAATGTTTAATATTCTTAACTTTGTTAAATTTTGTAAAGGTTTTAAGGAACCAACAAAATTATTATTTCCTAACCACAATTCTTTTAATTTGACTAAATAACTACAAAAAGATAAATCTTGTTGAGAAAAACTATTTCTGCTACAATCAAGGAAAGTAATATTAGAGAAGTTATTATTTGGCAGATTAAGAGAAGTAATTTTATTGTTAGAACAGAAAATTCTTTCTAAATCGCTAAATTCAAGTCTAAAAACCCCACCAAATTCTCACCTCTAATATCTATCTCTTTAATATTGGTTCGGAACCTTCAAAAGGGATATTTGAGATTTAGCCAAATTTGGGCTGGCTTAGGAACACTAGTTTTATTGGCAAGGACAATATATTATAAACTATGTAGTTGGTTTTAATATGCTAGAATTCTTTTATAGCAATTCAGAGTCTTAAATTCTTAGTTAGCAAAGGTTTAGGTTAAAAGCAAACTATAAAAAATTATTGGTAAAGTAATATAAAATGACTTCTGGGCATGATGAATTTTTATATGAAAAATAGAGGTTAAGAAAATTCTCCCGCTCAAAATAATTTTTCTAATTCTTCTACATTCTTAACATAGTAGACTTTTAATTTTTCTCTAATTTCCGGTGAAACCACCTGCTCGTAGTTTTTTTTTTGCTCGGTCGAGAGGACTAGTTTTTTTACTCCCTTCTTCACTGCGACTGGGATTTTGTATTCTAATCCATCAACAGGGCTAATTTTGACTTGGCTAAAATTCTCTTCCGTGTCTTCAATCAACTCTTCATAAAAACACCAAGGACAACCACCGAATTCCGAATATTTTCCAATATCAATACGACCTGATGCGGCTACCTCTTGGGAAATAGGTTTTTGATAATAAGCACTGAGTAATCCTAAATAAAGAGTTAAGGCTGATGAATCTCCGGAAACTGGTGAGAATTTAGCAATAACGCTATCATTATTGTTTTGTAAAAGGCAAATATTATGATTTCATTCCCTTTCTTTCTGTAAAACTTTCCAAACAAAAAAACAAGCCACTATTTTTTCATATAAAGCAATTTTTTTACCACCATGGAGAGTAAAAAAAAATTTAGGTTTATCTCTGAATAATAAATCAGGGATATTCTGGAAATTAACAGAATTAGAACGGGGCGTTAGAAAAATTATTAAATCACTAACTCTACCACTAACAGGTTGGGTAAAAAATATTTCTAATTTTTTTACTACACCTTGCCGATTTTCTTTTTTTAAATCAGTTAAATTAACTCTATTTATTAACCCCCAACTTCTAATCTGCCTTACAGACTCTTCTGAATATCCCTTTTCTTTTAAAGTTTTTCCATCATCATAAACTAAACCATCATTTTTTTTAGCATCTACTGCCGCAATATTTTTTTGGACTTCTTTACACTCGGCTAGATGCTTTTCTATTAAAGGGAAAAATTCTGCTTCTTTTTGGCGATAATTCGCTTCATTAGTTATTTTACCACAATAATCACATTCTCATTCATTAAGAAAACGAAGAGCATCCAGCCCTTTTTTCATTTCAGTAGACTGGTGAAAAACACATCTTGGTTCACTTAACGGCTCGCTTCTTCTTTTTTTTCCGGTAAAAAAAATTACTATAAACAGAATAATGCAAGCCAAAAAGCAGGTTATCAAAAACCAAAACCATTTGGACTTCCAAAACCTAGGAAAATTTTTTTTGTAAGTGCTAATTATTTTTGATTAACATGTCTATCATCAACAGAATTACCATTGCGATAGTTATTTATATCTCGTTGGAGAACTGAAACTAATAAACTATGACCACCATTGTCCATCCTTCCATGCCGACCATTAACTCTTATATATCTTTTTTCTAAATATTCTAAAAACTCTTCGGCATCTTTTACGTTTTTTAGCAGAACGCTGGCAGTTTTACAATATCATATTCCTCCATGATCCCATCCTTGCTTTCAATTAGCATTATTAACTTTTCGAAGCAGATTAACAACCCAGTTATTATCTTTGTTTCCCACAGTGTGCGTAAATCCATAATCAGTAGGCTTATGTTCTAAATATTTATATCAGTCGTCCATAGTTAAACCTCGTCTAGAAGTTATCTCGAAACGAAAAGTTTGATCAGCGGACGGCGTGGTGCCAGGTCAACGATTAATCCATATGTTATATATATTATTCCTTATGCTAATATTAACTGTATTATTGTAAATAATTTGCAATTCTCCTCGCGAACAAGAACAATTAGAATTATCTCAATTACAAGGCCCATATCCCTTATTTATGCTAATATCATCACTATTTAAATCATCATAATTCAAATTACCTCCTTCATAAGTCTTCATAAATTCCTCATAACTAGGAAACTCATTTTTTATTTCATATACCGTTTCAAACGGCTTTTGTGCCTGAATTGGCACTTTATTGTTGTCTACCATTATTTTATACTTTTATTAAAATTATTAGTTATTTACTTGCTAACTTAACTAGTTTAGCACCTAGACAATTAAGGAAATACATATTATTTACTGAAATAACTAAATAAGTCCTTAATTGTTTTTGTTTTCTTAATTAGTATTTCTTTTTCGTTATCGGTTCTGTTTTCTCCATATAGTTTTTAATTATTGACTTATTGTTATTACAACTTTGCTTCTCAACTCATTCATCCTCTACAATTTAATTTTATATAGTTTTCTATCTCAACTATATAATAATATTTAGTATCTTACTTATAAAACAACCGCTTTATCTTACTAGAAAAAGCCCAATATCCAAGAATTATTTTTCCAAAAAAGTCTGTTTTCCAGCCAAATATTTTCTATTTAATTTTATTCTCTGAATAAGCAAAGAAAATTTTCCCTACTTCTAATAAGTAAAAGTCCTAAATCTAGGAGTGTCGTTTTTTAGTAAAAAAGTTTAATTTCATATTGTTTACCTTTCTTTTAGGAATTCCCGCAATTCTTTAAAAGTTAAATCAACTCCACAAAACTCCCTTTTTAACTCTTGGCAAACTTCTAAAACCACGAATGAACCCGCACAAGGGTCAATTATTAAGTCTCCTTGATTAGTAGTCGCCTCAATTAAAGCCTTTATTAACTCTTTGGGCTTCTGATGCGGATGTTTACGCTTACTAGGTGCTAAAACCGCTTCCTCCCACACATTACCGAAACTCCTGTTTTTAAATACTTTACCAGTTTGGGGGAATTTCTGAATTAAAAAACAGAATTCGGCATTACTTCTTAATCAATTACCAAGTCCAAGAGTATTTTTCTTGTGCCAGACCAAGAAATCAACAATTTTTAAAGCAGGAGTTTTTAACAACCATAAAGGAATGCGGTCATTGCCTAATAGAGTTTTATTTACTCATAAAATACAAAAAGAACTAGGTTTTAACACCCGCTCCACTTGCTCTAATATCCTTAAAATTTGATAATCAGATTGACAATAAAGTGGATAATTGGCCGACAGAACATTCCGCACTGGCTCATATTGCGGATCCAAGAAAACTAAACTAACGCTATTACTTTCTAAACTGGTTAAAAGTTCTAGTGCCTCCCCAGTTTGTTTAGTATTGAGCGAAAATTTTCTTTCCCTGCTTATTTTTATTTCTTGGTTTACTAATTCGGTGATTTTGCTACTCCCCTTTTTTTTAAAAAGGTGAGACAAGAAATTTATTCTTTCTTTCATACTTGGATTTGGGCTTGTAATTCTACTTCTTTTTCTTTTACAGCTAGCGAGTTATTTGGTGGTTCCTTTATCTCTGATAAATTATTGGGTAAATTCTCCCCAAAATTAAGCAAAAATTTTCTAATATTTTTTTCTTTGGAAGGTTCAGGCTCAATTTGGTTATTATTTACTTGATTTTTGATTGGTTTTTTAGCAGTATTTTTTAAGGTTGAGTAGTTTTGTATTAAAGAGTTATTTTCCTTGGCTAATTCTTTTACTTTTTCTTTATATTTTGCTAATTGCCGGTCTTTTTGGTGATTAACTATTCTTAATTTCTCGTTTTCACTAGTTAGTAAAGAAATTTCGCTGTCTTTATTTTGTAATTGCTTGTTTTTTTCCGCAATTATTAGGTCTTTTTGTTCTAATTCTCTTTTTAATTTTTCAATGGTTTTTAATAATTCTAGTTCTTTGCTTGAGTTTGGATTTTCTAATTTAAGAGGTAGTTGCGGTGTTTTTGGTAATTGGGGACTATTGCCAACCTTAACTTTGGGAACTTCTTCCGACTCCTTGGGACTAGAATCAGGTTCTAATCATCCGCCAAATTCTCTAATATCTACACTTCCTTTTCAGTAGCAAGAAGTAGTGCGGATATTTTTATGCCCTAATGTCTTTTGCAAAATTGGCATAGGAACCCCATTTAAGGCATTATGAGTAGTAAAGCAACGCCGGAGAGTGTGCGGGGTTAACTCTACATTAGCAGGAATATTTAATTTCTCCTTAACCTTTTTGAGAAAATTATTAAAAGTAAAGCGGTTAGTTTGATTAGGTTTTCAGCAATTAGTTTTCAATTCGCTAATTACAGCAGGAGAGACATAAACATAGCGAGTTTTATTACCTTTTCCGTGAATTAGATATAAGTTTTTATGTCTGGGATGTTTTAACTGATAATCAAAACTTACCGCCTCTGAAACTCGTAAACCTGATTTCCAAGCCAGTAAAAAAAGTCCATAATTGAGCGAAAATCTCCCCTCTTGTGCTTGGATAAAGTTATTAATTTGGTTAAGTAAAGATAAAGAAGGGAGAATATTCATTAAAAATAGACATATACTCCTCCTTTTGGAAAATAAAGATTAATTTATTTGGTTTTTACTTCCTAAATAGCAACCAAATTACTAAATCTCCGCTTGTATAATCTAATTTTATACACTTAATTCTATTAAAAATGCTTTTATTGTCAAAGTTTAGGGGAAATTTCCCAGCAAATAGGTCGCTGTGCTTTTTGCGGAGTAGTTAATCCACTTTACTTAATCACTTACCAAGGAGAGAAGAAATTTTTCTGCTGTGGTTGTGCCTGATGGCAATTTCCGAGAAGCGAAAAGGAGAAAGAGGAGGAAAATAAATGATACCAAGCATGGAAATTCAAACAATTTTGTCAAAGACCAAAAAAACATTAATGCCAACTAAAAACCCCACCCCCGAGGAGATAACCCGCAAAAAAGAATATGTTCGCTTTTTAAATACCCAAATCTACAAACTAACCAGCCAACGCAAATTCCTCCATAAACAATTAACTAAATTAGAAGCCCAATTAAAAGATTATGAAAAGGAAAAAGAGAAAACGGAAAAGTGGTTGAAGGAGAATTAGTAAAATATATAATAAAACTTATTCAGTAAGAAAAGTTTTTATAATATTAAAATTAAATTAATAAATTGATGTCAAAGTTTCAAGCAAAAGTTTATAAAATCCATTCAAGGGTTATATTTTCTCCCTACTTCTTTATCCATGGTAAAAGTTAGTAAAAAAAATACTTCACACTTTCGCTGGAAAGTCTTTTGAAGCATGCCAAAGGATTAGTAGCGGACTTTACCGGAAGTAAAACAGGGCAAAGTAATATTCTAATTAGATTATTGGGTTTTCCTGATAGTCTGGCGGATTTTTAACTCCGTGGATTTCTTACCAGTTCCACTATTAGAATATTAACCAAAAGCAACTGGTATAAGTAAAAAACTTTTTTCTGAAAGGAGGGAGCCAGTTTATTTAGGACAGCATATTATAAGTCCCTAGTGAACTCTAAATAAGTAAAAAGGGAAGTCCTTACTTGGCTTATTGAAATAAATAAGTAAGGTTCTGAGTTAGCACGGTTAGATTAGGCTCACCCTAATGAATGCTAATGCCACACTATTTGAGGCAAGAGAATAGCAAAAAAAAAATTTAAAACATATGGTTAACGAGAATTCAGTAAATTTAATAAGTAAAAAACCGGTTGAATTGGTTCAGGAATTAAAAGATTATGAGATTAAAACTTCCAAGTTATCCTCAACAGCGAGAGCAAAGGTGATTAAAAAATATGGTAGTGATTATGTAAGTGAAAATAAAGAGGGTTATGGACCTTGCAAAAATTCCCTTTGTGGTTGTTCCTGTTCTTCGACAGAGTGTAATTGTAGCAATTTTAGTGCTTGAAGTAAACCAACTGGCACCGGTTTTTCATCCTCAGGTAGAGCAAGAGACGGAAAATTAAGCGGGCAAGTCAGTTCTCACTTATTTAGCAAAAAGGATAGTGGTGGCGAGGGTAGATTTTTAAGTAGTTCGGCCGGAGGTGAAATTGGAAAAGATGGCATTAAAGGTCGATTAGGTGTGGATTTAGCAAATGTTAAATCACAAGGCGTTCAAGCCAGGGTTGGACTTAATGTTGATTCAGGTATTTCGACGAGTGATGATAGTTTAGAAGTTAAAGCAGCCGGTTTTGGTTTCAGTGTTGGAAAACAAACTGGAATAAGCACTCCGTTTGGCGAAGTGAAGGTTGACACCGATGATTGTGTTATACAGTAAGATCAAATAGTAATTGGCGACAGATTAATTTACTGTCGCCAGTGTAATAAAAAGAAGCAAAAAAATAACCAAAATGCCTTTAATAGAAACTAAAATTCCTGAATGAGTTGTCTATATTTTTGTCTTTCTCGCCCTTTTTATCGTAATTTATCACTGCTATTATATTTTTAAAGTAATAACTGCTAAGTGTCAGGTTTGTAGTGAAAAAATAAAAGGTCAATGAGGTAGAAAGATAATTTTTATATATACTCCTTGGAGGAAGTTACGATTTACCTGCGGGAGTTGTCAAAAAAAAAAAAAAAAAAAAACAGTTATCTAGTCTAAAAATACTAGGTACTAACGCTATCTGATGCTTAATGATAGCAAAAACAAGTATAAGAAATTAAAAAGTAATACAAATATGGTAATGGTAAAAGAAATTATAATTCCAAAAGAAAATAAAGCACAAATAGTAGAAATTAGATATTTAGAAAAGCAAGAAACTACTCAAACAAGCAAGTTTTTAAAATCAGTTTTACCGACTTCTTATTGTATGCCTGATGATGATGGGGTTGGAGTTGAAATTAAGGTAGGAACAAATAGCACAGGTGTGAATGTGGCAAGTGTCAAAGCTGGAGCAGTTGAAGCACGACTTAGACCAAATGTTGATACAGGAGCATCAGCAGGCACTGATGGTGTAGAAGTTAAAGCAACAGGCTTTGGGGTTAGTGTGGGTAGAAAGACAGGTATAAGTACCCCACTTGGGGAAGTAGCGGTTAATACTGATGATTGTGTTATACAGTAAAAGGATTTTTGATTACAAAGAATAGCGGGGAATCCACCGGTTCCCCCCTAATAATTAAGTCCCCCAGCCTAATTATTAGATAAAACAATTTTCTTAAAAATCATTAAAGAAATAATAACGCCTATTGCGTATTAATTTATTCTCCAATAACCTCTTTTCTTATATTCTGCCCATAAGTGTCTTTTCCTAACTGTCATCTCCCCTAATCTCTTTTCCAAACAATCACCTCATAAGACCTTTTTTTCTCCCAAGCCCCAAAACCGAGCATCATGGCGATTTTTAATTATCCCATGCCTTAATGCTTCCCGAATGAACTCAAAACATTCAAAACACCACGCATGATAAATCACACTACCCAACATCTCAAACCAAAAAGGCAAAGCCGGTATTTTATCTCCTTTTGGGAAAGCTCGTGATAAATCACTTCCTTTTCTCTGAAAAAGTTTCTCATTCTCTATTATTTTTTCAGTTAATTCTCTTAATTGCTCCTGAGACTCTTTGGCTTGCGGTGAAAGTCTAATCGGATTTTTATAACTGGGATAAGGATAAGTTTTTTTGGTTCTCATATTTATAGTTTACGCAATAGGCGAAAGAATATCATGGGGATTTTAGGCAAAACCTCCTAAAAACCAAAACTGTTAAACAGAGTTTAACAAAAAGGGATAAAGTGTTCTATTCTAGCAAGATTTAGATATAAATTAACAAATAAGCATTAGAGAATAGCAAGAAATTTTATCGATTACCTTTCCGCAGCCAATTGTGAGCAAGGTTTAATCTGCTTTTGAATAGTAGTCAATCGTTTCTTTTCAGCATTCTAATTCGTAATGCTTCTGTAAATCCAACCAATAATCCTCTCTTACTCCTCAATATAGCCCTAAACGATAAGAGAGTTCAGGGGTGATATCTCTTTGTTCTTTTACTATTTCTTTAACAATATTCTCCTCAACTTTAATACTGTGGGCTAATTGTTGAGGAGTAATTTGATAGGTTTTTGATAATTCCTCCCGCAAGATTTCTCCGGGATGGATGGGGTGTAAATCTTTATCCCTTACCATAATAACTTATTTTACTTACCATATTTTTTACTATGGGTACTATGGGGGTCAATTCAAAATATCATAAGCCTGTTTTTGTTCTTTGTCTCAATAAAATAATAGATGATATTTTTTGCTTAAACGAATACTGCACTGACCTTGATTGCCATTTTTTTCTCTCACCTCCATACAAATTTCTTATCTTTTTCTCTCTTTTGAAGTCTAAATCCTTTTTTTTTTTCTTTGTTTATTTCTTTATCTACATGATGCATAATTCCCTAAATTTTTTGCTTACACACTAATACAAAAAAAGAAAATTAAAAATAAAAGAAAAAAGGCCAAAAAAGGCAAAAAGGGAACTAAAAAAGATAAATACTTATATAAAATATAAGTAAAAGCCAATTTAGGACAAAAAAGGTGCTACTCCCCTCCACAGCCCCTTTTCGAAACCACTAAAATTATTATGTAGTTCATACTACCCTTTAATGGTTCTCATTTTGAGAGGTCGGCAAGTTAAGTAGATAGTTTTTGTTGGACTATCTTTGGTGATACTCGGCACTAATCTATTCGAAGTTTGTGGATTACCACAATTATTTGGTCAATTAGGTTCCGGTGCCGTCATTATTGCCCTAGTCGGTAATCCTGACTAGTTAGTTGTTGGTGATGTTTCAACCGAAACAGCAACTTAGCTTCCGTATTCGCTCGCAACCAGTCAAGTTTTTTTTACTAGACTGGTTGAGGGAACAACGAGATTAATTTCCCAATTAAAAAGATAACAAGTTTAAATTATTTTCTTAGTTCGAAAATTAATTTCTAAAAACTAACCTTCTTATAAAAAAACGAAAATAATTCCCTCCCTACTTATTACAACACTAAAAATTAAGAAAGATAAATTAGATAAATTTTCCCAGTTTTTAGTTTTTCCGACTAATTGGCGGATTTTACTTTGTTCTTTTTGGTGCGGTTTTTGGTTATAAGAGCGAAAATAATTGACCCTCCTACCTTTGTTAATTGCTTCCTCTCGCTTCTTTTGGAAGTTAAGAAACAAGAGAGTAAGTTGAGATTATTTTTTGATTACTAATGTGAGAGGACGAGTTTAACATTTATTAACTACTTTCCCTAACCTAAAATCCTAGAACTCGTCCAAAAGTTAGACCAGGTTAAGTAATCATAGTTAATAAATGAGTAATCAACCACTTATGACTTATATATTATTATTTTAAAAACTTTTATCAAGCCACAGAAATTATCAAATAATCATGGGAGCAGTTGAATTAAAATTCTCTGGCACTTTTGCCAAAACTGATTATTTACAAGAATTTTGACCTACGGCAAAATATTAGATTTATTGCTCTGTTTTTTTAAGAACTGCGGAAAGAAACTTTCGCATTTCCTGTCGCAGTTCCGAAAATTCCTCTCTCAGGCTCTGATATTCCCCGCGATATTTTTTATTAATTTTTTGGGACTTTCTTAATTTATTAGTTAGAAAAGCTACCCCCAACAAACTAAATAATAGAGCGAGCCCATAAATTATTCTTTCGTTTTTTTGTCAATTAATTAAACTAGTTTTTGCTTGGTTAACGGTTTGGAGTTGGTGGTCTTTTTGAACTAAATATTCTTGTAATATCTGCTGCCGTAAATCCACTATCTTATGGTAATCGCTGGCTTGTTCGGTTTGTTGTTTTAAAGCAGCCGGCACCGCGAGACCCAAGTCTTGAAACATTTTTAAATCTTTGGACTTGATACTGTCTAAACTTTCTCCCAACGGAGCATTAGTATCATCATTATCAGGTTTTGCTAATAATTGGCGAACCTTTTCAATCACTTTTTCGACCGGGACATTTTCGTCTAAATCAGTGAGTTGCAAACCAGTAATGAACTGACGAATAATTTCTTTTTCTCGGTTCTCAGTTTGTTTTTGATAGTTTTCTTTTTGTTCTTTAATTTCTTGGTAGTCAGTATGAGAGCAAGCATTATCCGGACAAGTATGATTGGCTAACTGAATTTTATAACTATCCCTTTCCTGCTGAACTGCGGCATAATCACCGTTCGCACAGCAACTTTCCTGGCAGGTCAGCGAACATTTATGAGTATTTTTTCAGTTTCTTAAATGGTCGGCTTGGGTTTTCTCTTGTTGGTGTTGCTTTTTTTGGTCATTCAGTTCTTTCTCCAATTGTTTAATAGTCTTGGCTTGGGCTTTTAACTTTTTAGTTTGTTTTTTATTTCAAGCCAGCCAAGCCACAGTTCCGCCTCCCATTAAGGATTCGGTTAAGAAATTATTTTGACCTGGCTGGGGTGGTTCAGTTGGTAATGGAAGTTGAAAATTGGGAATAGGCGGAATAATTATTTTTTTGGGTGGCTCTTTTTGGTTAATTATGCTTGAATTGCTAAACTTATCCGAACCACTTTTTTGGTCCGCTGGGGAAGGACTAATTGGCTGATTTTCCGTGGATTGGCTCGGGGTAAAAGGTTGAGTAGTGGAAGTTGAAGTGGTTTGATTAGAACTAAAATTAGTGGGTGCTGAATGGTTAACTAATTTTTGCTCTGCTTCTGACAAGGAATTAACCGCAATGGCTAGCTTATCAGTAGTATTTTTTAACTCTGTTTCTAATCCAGTAATGATTTTTTTATAGTCCATTTCGGCCATTGCCGCTGCGGTTAATTTTAGTTCTAAATCGGTGATTTTACTGCTTAAGTTATTTTTCTCATCATGAGAGGCATCGGTAAGGTTTTTTACTTGTTGATTGAGAGAATTAATTTTTTCTTTAAGAGTTTTCTCGCCAGTCTTTTGAGTGGATTGTAATTCTGATACTTGTTGTAGTAAATCGC